GTGTCCATTTGCAACCTTCATCAAGCCTTAGTTCCTAATATGGATTTAGTTCCATTTCAGTCATTTCCCATGAGTATATTATTATATACTTGTTTTTCAAATCTTACAGCAAAAATAACCAATATTTCAAATCTCTCCAGTCTCCCAATCCATTTAAAATTTTCTTAAAACAAAATCTTTTTTTTTTTTTTTGCTTTTGGCCAGTTGTATTTTAAATTCTTAAGACTCTTTTAAAATGTCTTAAATCCGAAGAAGGTAAAACTCACCGTCAAATTAAGATTGCCATTTTGAAGGTCTCTAATGTCTATAAAGTGGTTAAACTGAACATTTCCAAAAGTGATTAGAAAATGAATTCAGCTGGCTTAGTGTCCCTTATGAAAGGCCCTGCCACTGCTGAGAGCAAAGATATTGTCTTTCTCGGCTATGCTCAAGCCCGTAGGAGACAGCTGTTTTATGGTCTCCTCAAGAGGAGCTGCCATTCAGAGAATTCATGGGCGGTCTCCCGATCTTTCCTTCTCCAGAGAGATTCAAAGGATTGGTCTATTCACCATCTTTCATTCTTCACAGCAGTCATCATCTCTGCTCGTTCATGGAGACATCTTCAGTTAGTCATGACTCACACGAGAAGCCGAAAGAGCTGAATGCTATAAATGTTAGCATCCAAGCAAAGAAATTATGAAAGAGAAGTCATGAATGCAGTTATAATATTGAAAAATGGGAATACTGCACATGTAGATAGTATAAATGGAGAAATGTAAGATATGGATGTGATCTATTTATGGAGTGGTTGGTGATGTTAAATGTATGTGTGAAGACTGTAGACAATTAAAAGAATGCTGCTAATTTTCCCTAGACAAAGGAAATTTTGCAAGAGTGACTACAAAAACTACTGTAAGACTAGTTCTCTGGGAACGTGGCTGGCAGAGTTTTGGCTGGAATGGTAGGAGAAGTGAAATGCAAAATTTGGGAAGTGCAGTGCTAGGAAGGAAGTACTGTATACAGATGAGAATCTTGCTCTTCAGCTGGTCACTAAGTTTCATATGAATGTGACAAAGCAAGCTTATTTGTTGTTTTAGAAATATTATAAAATGAATAGATCTGAATTATGAGAAGTTTTTCGTAAGTGGAAGTTTGGATGCTAAATGAGGTAAGAGTGATGTATAATGCAAGTAAAGCATGTGTGAATATAAATGTGATGCTAATGTATGGCTCAACAATGAGCAGAAAGTTAGAAAATGCTGTGCAATATTCCTTTGGTTGTTTAATGTATTTATGGAAAAATGTATATGGAACATTTGCAATGGTGGAGATGTGAGCATATGTGTACTTTTGCTTACAGATGATGCCATAAGCTGAGAATCCAAATGATTTGCAGTAAACGTCAGGTTATAGAATGCAAAAAGGAGTATGGATCTGAAAATTAATGTTTCAAAGACAAAGGTTAGTTGACTTTGACAGGGAAAATGGAGTTATACATAAAGGATGAAAAACTAAAGCTAATAAATGATTTCTTATATAGCTTCGTAGAATGTTTATTAAAGATGGAAAATGGATGGACTTATAATCCAAGAATGTATCACCAATACTTTGATTGTAATCCAGTATGTACAAATTCTTACTTTCTGTGGTGATGTTGGACAATTTGTCATGGAGCTTGACTCTCCCAGTTTAGATGAAGGAAAGGGTGCAAAGGACTGCAATTACAGAATATAGAAGTCCCATGAATCTCAAAATGTAGCTCTCGGAGTAAAAAAAACTATTGAATGAGTGGCAGGAAAAGTACTCAGTTATAGTGTGTTTTAGCAGAGAAATTTCATGAGGATATCCTTTCACAGACTGTTAACATGTAATTGGTCCGCCCCCGGCGCCTGATGGACCCGTCAGGGTTTCAGAGGAGCTT